ATGTCAATATATCGAAAATTAAATTTAAATATTTCAATACATATTATACATCGTTAGAATCGTAATTAGGTCAGCTATCTGAATGTGTAACTTTTTTGTAAAAATTTGTTTAAATAATAAAGTAATAGAACATTTTCCCAAATTTCACGATTTTTCAACTTTTTTCGATTTTCAGTACGTTATTTTACCTATTCCAGACATTTCAATGTCTTATTGGATCGATTCATGCACAAGACTACCGGAGGGACTCTCGATAGGAAAAGTTTAAGAAAAATCCTTGGAGCAGTTTTCGAGATACAGGCGTCCAAAAACGCTCCAAATCAGAAAATACTTGATTTTCAGCATGTCATATTTTGCTGCCCTCTCATAGGATTCGTGTGAAATGAGTATCATATGGCAGGGAAATCCCCGGGCCACCCAACGATACCTTAATTTCTTTAATCCGTTGATATCGGACGGAGAAATCATGTTTTTCCCAAAAGCATCCATTTTTGCGTTTTCTTCAAAATATCAGACATTTTTTCGACCACTTCCGGTTTAAGGATCCTTGTCGAAATAGCCTTATCCAGCGGTCTGACAATATAGCTTTATGTTCCAGGACTTTCAGAAATATCGATTTATCCTTTCCCAAAAATATAAGAGTTGGGAAATGGGCAGAAAATTCGAAAAAAAATCGAAACATAGAGGGCGATAACTCGGAATGAAACTTATATTTCTGGAATCGGATGGTCTTCAGGTATCCAGAAATGTAGGTCAAATTTGAAAATTTTGAAAAATAACAAAAATTGTCTCTTAAACAACATTTTTCATTTTTCGAACGCTAGAAGACAACGACGAAGTTTCGAAATTTCGAAATTTTCAACTGCTATCGTCCGAGAAAATGTCATTTGTATGAAAATGGGTACACAATTGACGAAGCTACGGCCGTTTTTTAATTTTTATGCACCGCACGAAATTCGGCCACTTCCGGTCTGCGCAGAAGTTTCAAAAATAGTTTATCAAGTAGCCACCGCATGGTTTCCCGATAGAAAATTAGGTCCCATATCGGTATCTGTTACAGCCACTGAGAAATAGGCTCCGGCGAAAAAAAAAATAATAATAAATAGACCTGCATGGCAGTGCTGAATCGGCTTTCAGGCAACAGACCGGAAGGTTGTGGTTTCTGGATCATAAGATTGAAAGTTGCCGGGAAATGATCAGATATTAATTTGTCCGAGACAGAGAGATTATCCAGTTTAATGTCACGTGGATTAGTTATCACCAGATCGAGAATATGTCCACCGTTATGAGTAGAAGAAGAAACATGTTGTGTGAGAGATCTATTATTCAGCATATCACAAAAATCAACCGCGGTAGAGTCGTTGGAATCATCAACATGAAAATTGAAATCTCCCCAAATAATAGTGCAACACTTAGTCATCATCAACTGGTCCAGAAATAATCCAAATTCTTCCATAAACTTTTGACACAATTTGCTATTGGGCGGGCGGTAAATTGTAATAATCCTAGTTTCCTTGAAAGAAAACTGTAGAGAACAATCCAAAATTTTAAAAGAATCAAAACGGTCATGACGGATTTTCTTACACTTAATAGATGACTTAAATATAAGTGCTACACCTCCTCCACGTGACCCGCGAAGGCAATGTTGTATAGAATATCCATCAGGTACTAAAGCTGCGATTGTCGATGAGTCCGAACAGTCATTTTTCAGCCACGTTTCAGTTATTCCACAAATATCAATAGAATTTTCAAAAATATAATCAGATAAAATTGTTGTTTTATTTCTTTAATTAATCCAAACGAAGTTGTTAAAACTGACGCTTCATTTTCGACCGCTTTTCTGATTTGTATAAGATTGTTGTTTATCTTCTGTTTTGTTCTAAAGTTTTTGATTTGTTTGTGATTTTTGATAAACAATGAGATTTGGCTTGAATGTTATTGTTGTAAGAGTTCAGTTGTGATTGATAGTAGGTGAGTTGATTCAGATAGCTCACTAGCCACAACAGATACAAATTATTATGAAACATTTTGATAAAATACTGCATTCAGAGTTACTATTTTAAACAAAAACACACGCAGGACAAATACATAGTCATTATCCTCTGTTATGACGTAACGTTATTGTAACAGCATAGTAACGCATTAAAATGGCCTGACGATTCGTTTGATAACGATGAAAGTACTAGCCAAAATTTTAATTTTTAGTGTTTTTCCTCTAATACTTGAATTTTACTTATATATATAATTAAAAATATGAAACCTGTAAGTAAGTTCTTTACTTAAAGTTTCATGTGGTGCTCTACATTCATCAGAAGAAAAATACAAATGAAGTTTGATTACACGAGGCATGGTAACGGTTGGCGTGCGTGACGTCAACAGTATACACCAAAACATAAATTATTTAAGAAAGATATTGCTGAATTATAACTACTAAAGCATCTGTGTCTTAGATGAAGCAAGCTTTAAATATTGTCGACTAGTAAATTTACTACATGTAGTTTATAGGGTATGACCTATTGACACAATTTACATTAAGGTTAACTGGAGAAACAAGGCAATTATAAAAACATACTTTGGTTCCTTAGAATATAAAGCAAAATACAACAAAATGATGTGCTATAGTTTAAAGTTCTGCAGTAAATATTTATAAAGATGCCTGCATGTAGAAACAAGCTCATTTCTTCTTTTTAAGGAGGAAAGTTCTGGTTTGCAAATAATATTAATAAAGTATTTCTCCCATATGCATAAGTTGCATCTATTTGTGGAGGGGCTGTACGGTTTGAAATTCTTTAAAATTTTCCATGTGATGCTGTAATTTATATTATCGTCTTAAAGTTTCCATATGTATTTACTCAATTCTGTGCTGTTTTTCAGCTTAGTGTTTCTAAAAGAATGAGTGTGGTTATTAAATCTAGTTTTAAAAGGGCCCTCCATGAGACCTACATAGGTTTCTTCTGGTTTGTTGTTAGCGGAGACTGTCGCTTGGTATATTACTGACTATGTCAAAAACTTTTTTTGGTAAGGGGCAACTGCCACGATTTCTACAATTGCATTTTTCGTTATTTGAGTTTGCATATAGATGTACAAGTTAAATGTCACAAACAAACAACTGATGGCAAAAAGAGAAATATTAATGGCAAGGAACAACAAGCATTACGGGATTTAATAAATGACGACAACATCATAACAAAAGAAGCTGATAAAGGTGGTGACTTCTAGCGTTCGAAAAAAGATAACATGTTATTTAAGAGACACTTTTGTTATTTCTGAAAATTTTCAAATTTGACCTACATTTTTGGATACCTAATGTCCATCCAATTTCAGACAATATGTTTAATTCAGAGTTATCGCCCTTTCTTTTTCGATTTTTTTCGAATTTTCTACCCATTTGATAAACCATATATATTTTTTTAAAGGATTAATCGATATTTTTGAAACTCCTGCAGCATAAAGGCATATGGTCAAACCGATCGATAAAGTTATTCCAACAACGATCCGTTAACCGGAAGAAGTCGAAATAATGTCAGATTTTTTTTTTTTAAAAAAACGCAAAAAATTGAATGCTTTGGGGGAAAAACGCGATTTCCCTGTCCGATATCAACGAATTAAACAAATTAAGGTGTCGTTGGGTGGTCCAAAGATTGCACCGCTGTATGATACTCAATTCATACAGATACCGTGATCAGGAAGCAAAATATTTTCCGATTTGGAGCCTTTTTGGACGCCTGTATCTCGAAAAACTGCTCCAACAATTTTTTTAAACTTTCTCTATCGAGACTCGCTTCGCTAGCGTTGTACACGAATACATCCAATAGAACTTTGAAATAACTGGAACAGGAGAAAGGGGGACTAAATATCGAAAACAGTCGAAAAATCGTTAAATTTTGGAAAATGCTCTATTATTTTTCTATTTTAACAGATTTGCAAAAAGGGTTATTATTAAGATCTAATCTGATCTAATGACGATTCTACTAATGTATAAAATGTATTCAGTTATTGAAATATAATTTTCGATATTTTGATATTTTTGCATTTATGACACATTTGACCATTGGATTCCTCATGGTGATTTCATCTGATCAGATAATGTAATATTATTATAGAGTCCTGCGTTTATCCAAGTGCCCAACTCGGTTATTGAAACTATCCCGACAATGATCTCCATACCGGAAGTATTCAAAAAATGAAGACAAAAATGTTTTAGAAAAATGTCTCTCTTGCGAGAAAAATTGATTTCTGCGTCAGATATTAGCGGACCAAAACGAATAAAGTGTCGTTGGATAGTCCCATTAATGGACTATCATAGTTACACTATGTATAACACTTGGCATCATGTATAACACTTGACACCATAAACATGCCAAAGAAGCCGCGAAAGAAAGTTCTGAATAGCAACATACACATATGTAGCGATGTTTTGGGCTTACGTATACGAATGTATAACACTTACATAACAATATATAACACTTGACAACAAGTATAACAGTTGGCATCATGCATAACTCTTGACGTCATGTATTACACTTGCCTTCATGTATAACATTTGACACCATGTATAACACGTGACGTATAACACTTGACATCTTATATAACATTTGACAGCATGCCTAACAATTGCCTACCACATTATCTACATACGAGTACGTATAACATCGGTATTGTGTATAACGCTTAACGCTTTTCTGGGGAATAAACATTACATGTATTAAGTCATTAATATGTAGTTTATTAAATGTGAAAATAGGATGTTAACTGTCCGTCAGTCACGTATACATTTGTTACTTTGGAACATGTATTGGGGTGTAAGTATCTTCGATACAATAATGTGGTGTGACGTGAAACCGTTATTTCACCCTTAAATAAACAGATTGTGTAATAAAAAATACTTACATGTTTTCTTCAGATTGCGCAGTCAAAAACAATATCGTCAATGGAAGGAACTCAATTCAGGAATTATCCAAGCTGGCCATCTTTCCATACTCCCCAACGTGCATATACTCCAGAATACAATGAATCAACCGTACAAACTACTGGTATCTATAGAAATGAAATGATAGCAGATATCGCGGGAAAATCTACACCCTCAAAGCAGACGACACCGGACATACAGCAGACGACACCGGAAATACAACAGGCGTCAACAGTTTATGATAATACATATGTGTCATCGTCTTCGTCTAACGGAAATCGTACAAGTAGAGAGATATTATGTGATTCCCCGCCATTGAATGGTTGTTATGGCGATGAGAAAGGGGCAGATGTATTATTAAGTGACGATAAAGAAAGACCGAATGCTATTGAGATTGGGGTGAGTGATATTGTATTCATGGTATTATGATATAATAACTTGACATCATGCATAACACACTAAACATCATGTTCTGCTGTAAAATTTTAATGGTCTGATGAAGTGGCGTTCACAAATTCAATACCATACTTATTTCGCGTGACTATTTAAATTACTATTATACGCGCATATTTCATGTGGGAGTATATTGTTTTCTCCACTGTCCGTTGATTCGTCCACAATTCTTGTGGACGCGCTAGATATAGAGTATTTGAAACACGTTTTAACACTGTTACTGTCCCTGTAAAATCTCAATTTGGTAAATTGGTAAACCTTTCTTCTTCTTGGATTTGTATTGGTCTATTTCAGCTATCACATTTCTCAACAATGAATCTCTTTTTTTCTTGAAGTAGAGGTTATTTCGTGAGTCACAAGTCTTCTGACTTCCAAGAACTTTCTTCACTCTTCTGTGATGATTTGTTGGGGCATTGCATCCGTCAAATCAAAACATGTCATTGCCATCAGACCAAGAATTAATTATTCGTAATTTAAACTCTATTGTAATATTATTCTAACATTATTTTTCTTAAATCTTATTATTTACTCCTACTGTTAACTAAAGGTTAACCTTCATTTAATTATTGATAAACTCTGATGTGTCTCTTTAATCATCAGAATTCTAAAACCGTTTTAAATTATTAATCTATCTTTGATCTCTTGACCTTAACTCAGTAATCTACAATTTTATAATTTCGTTTTTGTTTTATAATTCCACCAAAACAATTACAATGTTATTTTAACATTTCAACATCAGGATTGCGTTATCCTAATTTGTATAAACATTATCCATGTTACACAAACATCTACTACCGGTAATCTCACCTTTTTGACCTACCCTCATTAATTTTGTATGTGAGCTAAAACAAATACACCCATGCATGAAACAGGCCCGCGGTTACCTATTCCATCTTAATGTTATCTCAACCCTCATAGTTTCATTCAACTAATCACTGAAGTCACGTGACTTACTCTGAAGAGCAGGCGACATAATATCGATTACACATTTTAATCACCTCGCGTGAACAATTTAAAGCAAAATTTAATGACACAAAATAACATAACTAACGCTTGCAGTTATATAGGATTATGCATTTCTTAAATCTAACGAGTCAATTATCTTAAATGCCTACACACATCCTTGCGATCAATAAGGCATAATACTCAATACTGGCACTTCTACTGCCAGAAATTACCCTTATACTCAAAGGTTATATAACTCCTTCTATTCTTTAATTACTCCCTAAACGCTATTCACGAATACACAGGGCTTTTTTTCTTAATGTAATCTAATCTTATACTCAAAGATTAAATTACATTGTACGTATTTAAGCCTGATTTTGGACGTGGACTAGGGTCTCAAAATCACCTTAGCTATAATTAGCCGTCTTTCTACTCTGATACGGAGACACCATTAATTCTTTATATCATTTCCTATTACGTTTCCTTATTATTCCTGATATACTTAAAATTTAGTAACCTATTTCCTATAGGCCCATTTTAAATTAAGATATGGCATTCCTAAAGGTAATCATATTACATAAATTTTTAAACTACATCACAGAGGTTTTCTCTTTGCCTACGTGTCACGCTTGATTATGTATCCTATTTCCTACGCTTAAAGTTATAACCATTATTTAACAATTTAAATTTTGGTTTAAACATATTTTATTACCACAAAGTAAATGGATCGGACAAAAGTTACATAAACTTACAAAAACATCCTTTCCTTTATAAGTACATGAAATTATTCAAGATAACAAGGGGTACAAAATAAGAAGAGAATTAAGACGGTGCTGGGGAATAAATCTCAAGATTGACGAAGATGATCATAAGAAAACCATCTGAGAATTATTCCAGTGAGTGCAAGGATCTTGAAATTATAACCCCATTTACAACTATCTTACAGGAGAAAATATCGAAAGGTTGCAAGAGCTGTTGGTACGAGGTTATTTCAAGCTTAAAGGTGTATTTCCAAATAGTAACTTAGGATAAGGACCACTCTTAAACCACTAGCGAATGTTCGTTTACACCTCACTATAGAATCTATATGTTATTGGAAGTACACTTTTATAAATGTTGACCCAAATCAGGTTTTAAACAAATTTTACTGTTTATATCGAATATAAAGAAAAGTAATAATTAAATAACATTGGCAAATCTTTTTGTATCTTTAAGATATTCATGTATGTTTTAAATGAGTCGATTATTTTGATAATTACTTAAGTTTTCATCTCTCCATAATAATGTACTAATATTAATGTTATGGCGTAGTTTTGTATGGATTATCACATATTTACGTTCCCCTGCACATAGGAAGTCTGAAATAGTTTTTGTGTTGGGTTTAGGTTTGATATTACGTTTTAAATTGTCTTATTTCTCGATGTTTTATTATTATTATTATTATTATTACAGCATATTTATAGTGCACCCTTTCATATAACATGTTCATGGGCACTTTACAAAGTGACAAGGTAAATCATACATAAACAACAAGATTATGGACATGTTAACGATTGTATACAGAGTCAGTTAAAAGCCTGATTAATAAATGTGTTTTAAGTTGTTTTTAAAAGAATATAGAGATGTACAACATCTTAAACTAAATGGTAGATTATTCCATAAAACAGGTGCTTGATAACTAAAAGAGCGCTGACCATAAGAGACTAGTTGAACAGTTTTGGGCTTTAAAAGTAGTTTATCTGATGTACGTAATGTTCGGCCAGGTGTATAAAGTTCTAAAAGATCTGAGAGGTAAACAGGAGCAAAATTATTTAAACATTAAAAAAGAAGTAATAAAATCTTAAAATCAATTCGATATTTAACAGGTAACCAGTGTAAATTATAGAAAACAGGAGTTATGTGGTCACATTTCTTAGTTAAAGTAACAAGTCTAGCGCAGTATTCTGTACTTTTTGTAATTTATCTATAAGCTTTAAAGGTAAACCAACTAAAAGTGAATTAAAGTTATCTAATCGAGAAGTGACCAGAGAATTAACAAGTGACTTAGTGGCCTCTACAGTTACACATTTACGTATTTTACCTATATTTCTAATATTAAAATAGCATAATTTACAAATATTATTTACTTGAGCTCCCATAAGCATAAAACTATCAAAGATTGCGCCAGTATTACGAGCAGAACAAGATGAAAATATATCACAATTACCAATTACAACAGGGGGGTATCATGTGCAGATTTACTTAATTGGTGCCTTGAGGCTAATAACAAATATTCGGTTTTATCATCATTCAATTTTAGAAAGTTCTTTGACATCCATTTAGTAGTAGTGTTCAGACGATTCCAGGCTTTGATGGTAAAGGGGAAGAAGGATTTTTGGAATGTTATGGTTCTAGCAAGTGGTGGCTTTAGGTTTTGAGGGTTTCGTAGTGAGTATGTAGTATTAGGAGGTTGATAATTGTTTAAGATTTTAGATAAGTACGTAGGACATTGGTTGTTGTGAATTTCGTATAGAGTTGTGGGTTTCCTTTTATGTCTCCTTTCGATCAAGCTTTCCCATCCTGTTTCGAGATATAGCGATTGTTTGCTTGGATATTTCGGTAAACCGGTAACAATGCGAGCAGTTTCTAATTGGATTTTTTCTAGTTTGGCGCAGTCGGAGTCATTACACCCATCTCAAACTTGGCAAGAGTATTCCAGGTTAGGTCTTATGTATGTTTTCTAGAATATGTTTAGTGAGTTTTTATTTAATGAATATTTCAGATTTCGTAAAATACCAAGTTGTTTGGATACCGAAGAACATATAGTATCAATGTGTTTTGACCACCTGAAGTCACTTGATAGTGTAACACCGAGGTGTTTTTGTGTGGGGACTATTTCTAATTCTATGTCACCGAGTTTTAAGTTTGGTAGATGTTAATGGGGATTAAATAAAAATAACAGGACTTTTGTTTTAATAGGATTATAATTAATTAACCATTTTTGCGACCAAATATTTAGGGCATTTAAATCATGGTTTAGAGATAATTCTATATCATTAACCGTTTTTCCATTGCAGACTAAAGCTGTATCGTCAGCAAATAATCGTGCTATGTTTGTCAACGTATCTTGGATGTCATTTATATAGATTAAGAAGAGGAAAAGTCCCAAAACAGATCCCTGAGGAATCCCTGACATTAGAGTTGTTTTATGTGATGTAACACCTCTGATGGTTACCGCCTGTTTCCTGTTACTGATGTAGCTTGATAGCCACTTAAGACATGGGTCGTCAATACCGCAGTTTTTTAGTTTATGCATCAGGCCTCTGTGATATACTCGATCAAAGGCTTTTGAGATATCAAAGAAAACGTAGCAGGACAATTTGTGGTCCTCAAACGCAGTGACGACATCGTGATATATTTCAAGAAGTTGATGAACCGTTGAGTGTTGTGGTCTGAATCCAGTTTGCAAGCCATATAGAAGGTTTTTGGACTGAAAGAAATTGTATAGGTGTTTGAATATTATACTTTCAAGAAGTTTACTAACAGTGCTTAAAAGAGAAATAGGTCTGTAGTTTGATGGAACCCATGGGTCGCCCTTTTTGAAGACGGGGATTACATTTGCTATCTTCCATTGAGCAGGAAATATTCCCTCAGTAATGGACTTGTTAAAAAGAATAGTCAAGGGAACACACATTGAATTAATAGAGTGTTTAAGTAAGATGTGACTAATCCTGTCAGGACCACTGGCCTATTTGGCATTAAGACATTTGATTATATCCATTAGTTCAGACTCAACAATAAGTGGTAGAGAAAATGAACAAAGGGTTCTAGAATTAAAAGTTGGAAGGTCATCTCCGGTTGTATTATTGGCAACAGACCCAAAGAAATTGTTTAGCGTTTGTGCTTTATCAAAGTTTGAGCGGGCAAAGCTTCCGTCTTCTTTCTGTAATGGAGGAATATTTGAAAATTTGTTTCTTTTCAACAACTGGTTTATACATTTCCAGTAATTTTCGTTTGGTTTG